GGCGGGTTTGTCGCGATTCGTACCTACGTAGCAGTTTTTCACGACCCCGTGTGACAGGCCTCTCTCCTCGAACTTGAGACGGCGTGTGGAAATCTGCATTTCCTGATGTTGACAATGAACGAAATTCCAGGACAGAAGATGTAGAATAAGATACAGATTTCCGCGAGCGATTATGTAACCTTGTGGGAATGGGGGACGGATGTCTCCGAGAACGGATCGCACTCCAAGAACTTGATCTCGTTTCATGAGGACGGTCGCGGTCGGATACCCGAGCTTCTCAGGGAAGGAAAACTCATTCTCTCGAAGGATTCTCAGATTAGAAGATACTCCTAGTTAAACCCATATGATGGAAAGCTGCGAATTCACCATCGCATCCGCCTGCTGGAGATTTTGATTCGTGCGATATCCATGACGATGGGAGCCTGGATTCCGGATAGGAAAAAACATGAAATTAATTTTCCTCCGAGAGTGTGCTGCATAGCGTGGTTCTGAAAATTGAATGGGATTCCATTCTATGGGAACAACTCTTTCCTTGGGGTGCATCGAAGCCCCCATCAGCGTGGGGATAGAGAGGGCGGTGCGCTACGGGGGGCTTTCTCTTGAGACCGGAATTTTGTAAGTATATCGCGCTTTCCGACGGAAGGATAAGACGCATGATTCCATCGACCATCGTTCCCACCATCCCGACAGGGACAGAGGAGCTCCCATGAGTATCGCATGCCTATCTCTCTTGTTCTCTGCTTTTCTCTCCGCCTCACTCTACCTGATGCTGGTTTCATGACCTCTTTCACACGCGCGGGGTCTATCGTCCGCGAAAAACATCCGACCATATATGAACTGTCATGTCGTCGAAGATCTCCTTCTTTTCGCTAATACGGGTAGCTCTCTGCGTTGGGACGTTGCGTGCGAGGTTCATAGATTCAGAGGGTATCGATGAACTCTCGCATCGTTCCGATCGGAAAATGCGATCCGCCACTCAGGATAGAATCGCGGAACTCTTCGGGGATAGAATCTTTCGCAAGCGGCAGCAGCAGTGCCGCACGGGGGATGACGTCGCCGACCATGGCGCGCCGCAACACGGTAGATGTGCAGGCTCCAATCCAGAAGCCGGACAAATAATATTCCATTAGGACATCCTGCTGCCGAAGACCTATGTGAACTGCCAACCAACAAGATCGTTCAGCTTCCCGAACTTCGCAAGAAAATTGTGAACGGCCCTGAAACTTGGGAAACTGAGAGACCCCTGGAGGAAGTCTGATGGGATATTACGAAAGAGTGCCGAAAAAATTCTCGATCGGCCACTAGCTCAGTGTTCGAAGGAACTCCTGAAGGTCATTCTGCCCTATGGGCGCACCCTGTATCGGAAATAATCGTAGCCAACCGCATGCAAAGGTAACCGAGAGATTCACCGGTGAAATTCTTATCTCAATGCCAGGTTTTCGATCGCCACGTGGACGTTCTGATAGGGATGAACCGGCGAGGGGGGTTGCAATTTGAGCGTGCGATCGCTCGTAGTCCCAAGCACCACTATATCAGCGGGCGCATAATATCTGTGCTCTGACGAAGTAGGTATCTCTTAGGAATGAGTGTCTCGGTCGGGTAGAGTCGGAGAGTCGGACTCGAGAGAGGTAACGGCTCAGTCTGAAAGGAAAATCGATACCCTCGGTCAACAACCTCGCTACATACTATGTACCTTCTCCTAATCAGAGCGGAGCTCCGACGAAACCAATGAGCGTTCAGAAACATCTCCGATGGATCTCGCCGTTCGCGTCGAACGAGTTCCGTCTCAACGAAGCTGGAGGACTGACGGGGAACTGCTTACTCTTCGTCGGACCGTGCGTCTGATATGTTTCCTGGAACTCCGAGAGTTTTTCCGCTTCGTATGGGGCGTCTGCCTCGATCATCATCGAAGGGATTGAAATAAATGCGCGGCTCGCTTCTCGATGTCGATGACGGCAGCGATGTTCGTGCGCACACCCCATCTGGGCTTACAGGGAGAAAAATTCTCCGAACGCAGTGAATGAAGGCCGAGACCTCGGTGGGTGCAAATGAATGAAAGTGTGCCCTCTCCGTATACCCCTGAACTCCAAGGGCCGTGCAAAGAGGTGAAGAAGAGGAGTCAGTCGATGCTCGATCTGCATCAGACCGCAGCCTCATCTCCGGAGAGATCGAAAGCGACGGAGGGAAACGCAAGAAATGCAAAACCGGAAATTCCTGAGGCGAGAAGTATTCGCGAGAATACATATTCCTCCGGAGCGAATGCCCTTTCCCCCAGAGACGGAGAGAGACGTGGGGTTCTGAAAGGAGCATGAGGCAAGTTTCGCTATCATCGAACACCGTGTCTCAGGACTCCGACAGACTCCGAGTATTCTGAACTCATTCACGGGACGGGTGTCGCGAGAGCAACCGATCCATCGCCGACACCGATGATGCATGCTCTCCAGTGCGATGGAGCATGCGCGACTATGAGTATTTGCACGGCGGCGCTCGGAACTTCCACTTCAGAGTTTATCCGACAGGCAGCTGCACGTGAGGAGCCCTACTTCGGTTTTTCGGAGAATTTCCTACTTCACGGTGGAGCGGGGGCGCAAGGGGGCTCGGACGAAAAATGAACAAAGCGGAACGGGCCGAACTTCATAATTTACAGTTGAGATGAATGAATGCGAGGGCCTCTGCGAAGCTTGGGCCTCTTCTGCTGAATTACAGCCTCTCATTAAGGACCTGCATGCTGTCGGTGAGTTCGGAGAAATTCTTTTTTCCTTTCACGCGGCTGAATAGCAGCAACGGAAGCCGTTCCGGAAGCTCCCTCAGCGCAGAAAAGTTTGTTTTTGAACCGGACTCCCTCCGCGATGAACAATCCCGTCGGTTCCTGAAGGAGCGAAGCTCAAAAACACACCGGAGCTCGGAGCGACCGCTCGCTCAGTCAGAACGGTCCTCTGCAGTCATGTTTGTTGGCTTCAGCCTCGATTCCTTCCGCGCGCGAGCGAATGAGCTGAACTAATTTAGGACGCACATCATCCCGAAACGGGAACGGGAGCAGTCTAAGAGGAAGCGCAACCTTCTCCATGGGCCCTCACATTCGTGGAGCTAAATTTCGTTCCGTCGGCCGAAGCAGTAGATAAGGCTGGGAACGAGCAGATAAGGTTTATCTGAAGGAGTTCATGAATGGGACATATACCTCTGCGTGATCGCACCATATCGCGCCAGGCTGATTCTCGATCTAACCTGGAACCCATTGATTCGATCGGATCTATGGAGTCCCAGAGAACGGAAAAGTCTGTCTCAACATGGTCAATATATTTATTGCGATGTGAATTTTTTTTTATTCCCTCCACGGAGAAAGACGATCTTCCAAAAAGTGATCGCTACTGTCAGCTGAGATGGACATACCCTACAAAGACTGGAAAATCTGCATCAGACAGAGGCGCTCAGTTAGATCTGAGCTCGACCCTAAGCTTAACGTCGATCCTAACCACGAAAATGGTAGTCGAGTAGAAACGATCTGTGTTCGTTGCATGACAGCACGGGGCTCAACACGATGTTTTTTCATCTGGTACCTGATGAACCTAATTCTATCCGCGCCTCGTTAGGAATTCCTCGCGCTCAGGAAACCAAGGTCACGGAGAACCTATAAGATCGTCCCACCCATGATTCCGTTCCCCTCTGTCCTGGCGGGACGATGCTCTACTATATACATTGTACAAGTTCTTAGAACACTGTGATTTTGATGCTAGGGACGTTGCGCGCGGGTTCTTTTCCTTTTTTCGTTTCGGAATAGTTTGCGCTTAGGGTTCGTCCGACGGCGGTCTTATCTTTGGCTTTTAATGCTGCTTTCGCCCCCTCCGTGAGCGCGGTGTCCGAACTCGTCGAAGCTCGGTCTTTGGTCCCTCGCTTTTGTTGTTTCCGTTGAAGTTCTTCCAAATCATTCATATTCGTGTTTTCTGACACTATCGATAGTCTAGACCTGAAAAGTAGAGTCCGTGCTCAAATTGAATGCTTGTCTATCGCTGCGCTGTAGGAGAATCGCTCGAGAGCTTTCGGGGGAGCAGCATTGCACTTGTGGCATCGAAGTTCGGCTCTGCTCGGACTCGCGTCGAGAAGGTTCCGAAACCCGGGCCGGAGAGAGTCGAGTGTTACTTTCGTCATCACAGACGCCGCTGATACGAACGAGCACTCGTGCAACGAGAATTCTCCCATTGTTCGGAGCTGCTTGTCTGCTTCCGCTCTGGAACGCCGCACAATGACTCGCTAAAACGGCGAGCGATCCAGCTAGGAACATTCGCGGACCAATATTGAATAATTCAACCCGAAAATGAATTCCGACAATTCCGAAAGCTCAACTCATGAGCACAGACGTTTGGGCCACGCTCGAATAGCGGAAGTCCTCGGTCAGAGGGAGATCAGCTACGACATTCCCTTGGAAACTCCCTTCCGTGGAACACTTGATGGATGGAGGGAGCGATTCCGGCTAATTCGTGTCGCTTAGTACAAACCTCCTAATGCTGGGTGAGGGTGATATATCTCGACTGCGGCTCCCGGTACCGCTTGGAGTCGAAGTGGCTACGAGCATCGACGCCACCGTGTTCCCGAAGGAGACCACGTAACTTTCTGAGGACAGCGGCAACGATGGACGTTGTATCTGGAGTTTCTCTTTGTTGTTACCTGCAGAACGGAACGATCGCGGTTTCCTGTCAATACAAAGACTTCGGATTCCTCGCTCACGATTCGATCGTCTCCCTTCGGCGAAATCCATGCGGGAGCTGCACCCACCGGTGTATGACGACCAGGTAGACGTTCTCGTTCGCAGCGATTGCTGGGACTTCCTGCGGGCCCACTCTTGGATTCGCGAGGTCAAGCCAGGAACTCTTCCCAGTAATAGTACGATGGCTCCGTCCATATTCTTCAGGGTTGAAGGCGTTGATATTCATTATAGTTATTATTCATTATTCATATATAGGTATATATTATCATTCATTAATGTACACTCGAGCTTGATGAACGTAGTAGCGTTTATTCCGCCTTTCGAGCGATCCCGCCTTTTCGATGCTGCCTCAGGGGTGCCCGGACACGGGCCCACTCGCTCTCCTGGACTTTCACGAGCGGTCCATGAGAATTCGAGTCTCTCTGAATAAGGCAATTCCCCGAATAAAGCAGTAAGAACTCACCCTGATCATCTCGGCGACATCTTTCTGATTCGAATTGTACACGTTGACTCCATTGATCTCCATAATTCTGTCCCCCTGGTTTATTCGGCGGCAACGGGCCGCGATGCTCCCCGGTTGCTACAAAAAGAATTTCGGAACGTGTCAAGGATGCCCAGGCGCGGGAATGCAGACTTGGGAACGACGGGAGCATTGAGCAGTGCATGCAGTAAGTCTCTCTTCTCCGAGTCCGGAACCCTCTGATCTCAGTACGAGGGCCAAGTTTCGAGGCGAAACTTCGAGCTTATCCGAAGCGTTGTGCGATTCTGGGCGGATCCAATGCTGGGTTTCGGAACTCGAACGCAAACACGGAATCCGTCTTGAGAAACTCCAAAAGTTTCCGGAGTGCGTTCGAGACTGTCAGCGTGTTTGATTACGAGGCAGACATGGGCATTCATTCGGATTGGAAACTGTGCGGTGCGATTGGCGAGCGTCCAGCAACGCCTGACCCTACACTGACGAGTCGGGTCTTCTCGCAGATAAGCTATCGGACCATTTTCGGCCCCAACATAATGGGATCGACCATGAATGACTGGAGCGAGTGGTCTCCGATCGACGGAACTCGCTGTCAATAAGGCCGTCGCTGAGTCGACTTCGGCGGAGTATTCGCCGGCGAGAGGAAAAAGTTCATAGCTCGAAAGAATCGAGAGTGTCAAGTACTCCCTGTCAATGAATGATGAAACTCCCGACGCCGGCGTTCGTTCTCAGAGAGACGGGTATCGCTAACTCGATAAACGAATGTTGCGAGCAAATTACCCTCTGAACTTGTTTGACGAAACTCCTCAAGGTCGTCGGCACTTCGAGCGAAGTCGACCAACGTTCTTCCCGCTCTCCCCCGTTCGCCTCTCTCTCGACCGCGTCCTCTGGAATGACTTTCCGTACGCCCTTCGATTGTCGGATCGTAGACCTTCCGCACTTCTGGGGGCTTCTCGGGAAAAACTCTACGGAGTTTTTGCTCGTTTTGGGACGATATTTGGATAGGGGATCCGGATCACTCTGCTCCCATCGCGCGAATTCATTACTGTTTACACTATTATACAATTGATTATGCGAGAGGGCCGGCTGCTCCAGCTGCCACAGACACTTCCCAGGAGGAATTCGTACAACGACCGACGAACATTTCTGTTGCGAGAGGGAAAGGCTTGCTGAACATCTTGCTCCTTCATCAGCCCTCTTCGATGTTCCGGTAACTATTGATAAAGAAGTAGAGCGAGATTTCGCCGACGAAGGGTCTCGGTACCGGAGATAGAAATCTGGTGAACGAATATCTGCGGGAGACAGTTGTGAGAGACAGACTGGGATTGGATTTTCCAATTAGACGGGGATTTTGCGCTGAGGTCTGTTTTTATAGTGACAGACTCTCTGTGTCTTCTGGCGCTGAATTTTATTCCGAAGATTGTCCCTCTCCGGAGGCGTATCGAATCCTCCAACTCCTGAAGCGGCATCCAAGCGAGACGCTCTGATCTCTGTTCAGACGTCGCCGGATCACCGTTGATCGCATATCAAGAGACGCTTATTGCACGTTTTCGAACCCGTTCGCGGAGCTCTGAATCGGTCGTCGAAACAGCATTCAGAATATATGTCAGGTTCGTACGAATTCTATGCTCCGGCGGGGAATGCAATACCCACGTGTAGGAGTAAGGCGAGATCGGCGGCGACCGGAGCGAACAAGCCAGAGTCCCTCACGGTCTCAAGGTTGAATAACTGAGAAGCCACGAGATCGCAGAAAAGCCTGAAGCCGAGTCAGAATTTCATCACTTCTCATCTCGACTCAGTGCTCTTTTCTAGAGGTCTCACGGCAACAAAGTTGGCGAGGTGGGGGTGGAGTTTTTCCCCACTCCCTTGTCCGAGAGTTCCTACGGCTGCTGGGCAGGTTTGAAGAGGATGAGGTTGGAAACTGGAATTTCTTTCAAGCCAACAACACTTCATGTCCGTCTATCTCGGAATATCCTGTTCTTATGTCCCCATGTAGAAGGACGGATTTATCACCTCCGAGTCGGAGGAGAGGCATAGTGAAACTACCTGCTATCTGCACCTCGCATAGAAGGTAAAAATATTTTTTGGAGCCCGGGAAGATAGAGAGCCGATCCGCGTAGGAGTCGCTCCCATGCCTACAACGAATGCACCAGAAGCGCTATCCGGGTGGCTCCAGAGGTCGATCTTCGAGTTATTCCCACTCCCGGGTAAAACGGTCGGGAGTTTCGCATCTAATTCAATCGACGAAGGAATCCAATCATTCCACCGAAATCCCTTCTTCTCTGCGCTCTCGAATCCTCGATCCTTTCCGGGAGCTGCTTCCGTTGGGTCAAAGTATATTGAAATCGAGGATATCGGTCGAGTTCCGGTAATCTCGCCTGGTTCACCGACGAAGCGAGCTGGAGAATTCGCTTTTTCCGAGCTGAATAGATAAATAAAGACGACGGTTGCGCATCGCAGCGCATCGGCGCTCGCGAGAATTCCGCTCAAGATCAGTCCGCAGAAAGAGTTCCTGATCCCCGCAAGCGCAGATCTGAAATCGGCACCCACCATACAAAATGTCGGAGCGAGTGTTCACCGCTGATAACAATGATTCTTTCTCAGCTGGTAGAAACAACAGAGAATCTCAAGGCTTGGGAGTTGATGCGGCGAACAATTCGATGTCGCTCGGGCGAGGCGGTAAAATGGAGACTATCGACGGACTCCGGAAAATTGGTTCCCGCTCTCGTCGCTGAGCGCGTGGCTGAATCATTTTTCCAGTTTTCGCTTCGAGCAATGTCCACCGAGATGCGGGTTGGAAATGCGAGCATCGATCGATCGTCGGCTGAGTCTCCTCAGTGGTAGAAATGTTCGTTGGTCTCTTCTCCGGCTCTTCGAAACGTGTCCCGCTGCCCAATGGAAGGGGAAATCGAAAACAAATAGGCGACGTGGGGCAAAGTCCAATAACACGACGGCTTGTTGGCCACGAGCGATTATTGCATCGATGTGGCAGCTCATTGCTACGCTGGCTTTGATGACTTATAGGTCGAACCCACAAACTAAATGGATGAGGTGATAAGATCCGAATAGATAATGAGGGGAGCGCGGGAAGGGCTCCTGGAACAAAGTGAAACAACACCGGAGCGCTCCTATCACGGGGAACGAACAGCCTTTGTCGAAAGAACCTCATCTCCTACTCGGAGAGAAGGTCAGTCAGCCGTTGTGTCTGTCTGTGCTCCGGAGCGTCCCGCAGCTAAAAATAGCGCCTACAGCAACTCAATTATCTTTGCGTTGTTTAAACAAGGAGGCTTTCTTCATCAGCCGATGACGCTGTGCCACATCGAGCCTGACCGCTGAGCACTCGTGAGGCTCGTTTTCTCTATCTGGGCGTTTCCGCTTTGCTTGTACGTTGATCGTTCGCCTCTCAATTTGTCTAGTCCCTTGCTTGATCGCTCCGCTTCTGTTGCAATAATTGTCTAAGTCACCGTTTGCAAAACCACGTTCGAGACCCGTGACCTCTGAGAGGCTTGACTGTTACAACTGGAGCGCTCTGGGCGTCTCTTCCCATCTCCGAACACTCGTAAAAGCGTGGCCATCGATTTCCGTTGTTCAATCGGGACAAGACAGGAGCCTCACTGATCGGAAAATACTTACTATATACGTGACGAAGACGCCTCGTCCGTTCCTGCAACATATTAGAAGAACGTTATCTCTACTTGTTCGGGACGCCCCAGGAGAGGCATAATGAGACACTTTGAGTCGTTTAGATTCGTGTTTGGTCGGGAGCGTTCACATTGCGTTTCGCAGGAGAGACTGCACCGCGTTTTTAGATAGAGCAACTCTTTGTGAGATTTGCATACAAATGGGTTCCCGCACAGTCAGAGGAACGTATCAGCCCGCAGTCAATAGTCAGGAAACACGGGAGATGAACCGAGCCTTAGTCACTCGGAGCGGTCGATTTCGCCGACCTCTTCTTGCCTCAACATCGAGGAATACCTGCCCCCAAGATCAGCCCTGTGCTAAATACACAACTCCTGGAGAGGATTTGTGTAGCGACTTACGTCCTTTGAATGAAGCTCAGCCCTAAGTGGTCTTTGACGCTAGACTTGTGGAGCTCTACTGTGATGAACTTCGAAGGTTCTGAAACAAGTGGGAGGGACAAATTTGGAGGGATGAGCTCAGGCGTAAGCCTCCGTCAGATTTACGAGTCGATTGCTCTGCAAATGAGAGACACTTGATGGTGCTAAACATTTGGAAACGTTCTCACTTTCGCTCGACGTAAAAAGAATCTGAGGGTTCTCTCGAAGTATCATGAGGCGCACTGGAGAAGAAGCATCCCGGAGTACTCTGACCGCGTCAGCTGAAGTCACTTCGCGCATCGACATCTCGTTCACCTGAAAGAGAAGGAGCGTAAATTATCCCACGGAGAGAAGCGCGGTAAGGCCCGGGGCTAAGCTCTCCCGGTCGCTTGCTAAGCTCCTAAACGACTCACTCAGCGGCGATTGTCAGGGATTGCGGTCACGGTGTACGAGAGTTAGAGACGATAATTTGCGCGGATCGGCTCTTCTCGGAGTGAGACCGAAGTCTTGATCTCAAGGAGTGCAACTCAACATATATATTTACGTATAGTACCGATCGGATTCTCAGACACGATGCGACCTCATTCCCCAGCCCGAATAGAGCCTGCTACCGCCTAATACTAATCGAGGCGCTTGCCATCGGAACGATGATTCGTATAATAATCGATCGGATCGTCCCAGACTCATTAGGGGGACGTATCACGGAGGATGGAGCATTCGCATAGCAATGATACATAAATCATTCTGCGTAATGATACAATAAGTTGTTCTCCTCGGGGGAGTGCTCCGTGCACGCTATCAGTTAGTGAAGGTCGCTTCTCGATTCAGGATGGGCTGTTTTCAAGTTTCCTGATACATCGTCCGATCCAAACGGGGAGGAAGTAGCCGGCTCGTCCCTTCTTCTCTCAGATTCTTCTCGAAGGGTCCGCTCGCACTAGGGTCATATTTTTCCTTCCACCATCCCTTAGAGTCCACAACCCGGAGTCTAAGTACCTAGAAACCGTGCTGATGACGCATGTGATTGAAAATAGAGACGCGACGCATACTCCTCGGTGGAATCGATATCTTCCGCCCTGTCTGACAGCGAGCCTGGACGCCGGCGCCGCTAATATGCTGGCTCGTAAGCGGCTCATACCTAATGCCTTGATGCCCTCAACCTGCTTCCTGCCTCCAGGAGGGCCTTTCAAGGGAAATTCTGCTGCTCCCTCCGGTGAGACCCGAATATTTCTACTGGGGTGACCGATCGACTCAGATAACTCGACATAGAGTGTTCCGCGGCTCTTGTCTCCGGGAGGGATTTAATTTACTCAGTTTCATAAACTCGGGGGAAACTGACTGAGAGGAAACGGAAGCCGCGTACAATTCACAGGAAATAGTCCCGAATCCCGAGAGGGATCTAGGCCAGTCTACCGTGACGTAGACGTTGGCGGCGCTTACGATTGTGAGTTCAGCCCGAACATGGACGATGATGATGTTGAATATTGTGAGTGCGCGTTCCTCGTCGCAACGTCAGTTTCACGCTTGATTAGAAGCGATGCGATGGGAAGTCTGCGTATGCGGCGGATCTCTCCTAGCCGTCACTAGTTATTTCCCATCGTCAAGATCAATCGTACTCGTCTGCCAATCCACTCGTATCACCGTACTCGCTCGTTCCGTCGCTGTCGGCTACGTCGCAACTCCTGAATGAGGAACGCATGGGACGTGACGTCGCTTCCTGTAGTGACATTTATAGGAGAGCTCTTTTCGCAGCTGATGCTGGCACGGAACGACCGGTCTACAAGCTCACTTCCATTATCAATCGGAGATCATGGATGCCCGACGATTTGAGACTGAACAGCCGACCGGCTCGTGTATCTTCCATAGGACAGTCACGACTTCCGTGTCATGGGTGAAATTCGAGCCCAGACTCCACCAACATGAGAGGACCCAGAATGATGATATATATTCTCGGCGCAGCGTCTGAGCGACGCGGCCTAGACTATTCCGCCGAGTTCAGAGGCAAGGTCTTCGAGAGGCCGTGCCCCCCGGATTCCATGAAATATCCATTCATCTGTTTGCAGCTTCCGCATTCCAAGTTTTCGTTGCGCATGGATGCGGAGTCGGAAATCCGAAACACAGGCACTGCATAATATTGGTCAGAGAGAGCGGTCCGCATGTAATCTCCGTGCGGTTAGCATCCCATAAGCGGCCTTACAAAAGAGGTATTCAATCCCCATGGTACGGCCGGTCGTCCGACTCCGTCCTGGTCATCCTCACGACCGTTCCCCTACACAAGAACTAATGGCTCTTCGAGGGCAATCTGCATGACAACAGTCTCCGAGCTATCCGGTATTATCACAGCTCCCGCCGGAGAGGAATCGAATGTCACTGATTTATCCGGGAATGCCTTTCCCGAGCGTGGGTAAATGTGGGAGGATCGAACGTCTCCGTGTGAACTGAGCTTGTCCAAGCAGGGGTGATTTCATGCTCGGGAACTCCGTCTTTTTCAAGCGCCGGTCATATTCGTTTTGAGTCCGTTCCCCATTGGAGATGGGGCTAGCAGAATCCTTCGCGCGAAACTCAAGCGATACCCTCCTCCCACGAAGAGGATACATTGTTACCGCGGTCGGGCGATGGACGGTTCGCCATTCGCTCGGATCGGCCTCGCATTTACTAAAAACGAATGCTCGAGTGAAAATGAGAGCCAGGAGCAGGATACTCGCTGCCAGGACAAGAGAGGCCGGGGCGTCTCGCATAGGATAGATGTTTTGAGGATAAATGATACAATGTTCCCATAAGCGTCCAAAGTCTGTGGGTGGCATCCGAGGCATGAACATCGATCATGGCAAAGATATAGAACTTGCGACGTCAGCATAATATTCGAAGCAGCAGAATGATCTCATGGCTTGCGAAGGTTATCACTCTCCGCACACTCATCACTTACCGCGAGAATGACGTCTCCCTTCTTGAGACGCCCATCTTGGTACGCGGCTCCGTCCTGGTGCACTTCCGACACGCAGACGGCATCCTGAAAGATGTTCTGTTGGTATAGTCTGCGTAATCCACGGGTCGAGACTCGGAGTGAACTCCCTTCTCGCCTCTCTGTCAGAATTCTACCCTCTACCACTTCTTGCTCATCGCCTCCGTTCGCGCGCGCCACGTGGGGGGCCTCCGATGCGACGTCGGTGTCGCTTGTAAGCGACCGAAACACCACCTGGGAGCGAACGGCCGCTCGGTCATAAACAAACGGGACACTCACGAGATAAGTGTCCGACCCTCCGGTTATGCTGAGGCCCAGTTCCTGTTGAACTTTTCGCAGTACGATAGTGCTTTCGACGAAGTCCCGCACTGTGCTGATGGCACCTGCGATAGAAACGAGAATTTATTCGACCTTCAATCACCCTGCAACGATCGAGATCTTCCGTCGCTAGTTCACGCTGCTCAGGAGTTTACGCACGTCGTACGGCACCCGATCGGAGAAGGAACCGAACTACGGGGTGAGGGCATCGATCGCACGGATCCGATCGAAACTAGAAAACGATTTGAATAGAGATTCGAGCAGCATGCGCTCCAATCACGTACGACTCTCCTCGGTAAGCGTGTCCGCGCTCGTTTCTTGTTCCCAATTATTTCTTCGATGGTATGTATCTTTGAAGGGTTCTTCCCCTCGGTCCCCGGAGCTCGCTCGCTTCGGGGGCAGGTTCACTCATAAGCCTTCGTTACCTTTGGTAGTTTTTCGCCCGCACTCCTCCCTGTCCTTACCCGCTCACCGCGTCCAGCATTGGAATGAATGTTGGGAATCGACTAAGCGGAGGCTCCGGAGCTGTTCCTCACGTCTCTGGTCTATTAAAAGACGTTCACAACCGAATCCTCGGACATATACGTACGGGATGACTTACAATGAAGTTTAGTCTCACGGGTCTTAGGGCTGCCTTTGTCTTCCCAACCGCGACTCGGGCGCACCACATCGAGACCACAGATAGCGAGCTTAACGTCATTGTCGACGAGGATTGGGATCAGCTGATGTGTAGTACTGACGGTCGTCATCCCCATTATCCGCTCGACGGACTCTTTCAAACCTCTCAAGGATTCCTCACGTTGTCCGAGATCAGCTGAGAAAACGGTTTCCCAGAGCGAGTGGAGACCGAAATGAGACACGAGCCCGAAATTCGACAAAAAATTTCAAGCATTAGCACAACACACGAGCCGAAGATGTCGGTTGATCCACCGTCTTTGAACCCTGCGCACCATTGCTATCGCGTGCTCGTTCCCTCCGGGATTGGTTTTTGGGCTCTGGAGATAAAGGGAACAAATCTCTGATTGAGGCCATCGAGAATGCGAGAACATTCATCTAGCGGATGTGAATGCTCATCGATACTAATGTGCAGGGAGCGAGCGGAGCAAACTCGCCATGAAACCATTTCAAACAGAGAAAAAACGAATTCAAGCGGGTCCCCCGAGATCGCGCGTTAGCCCGCTTCGTCGCATGACTCCTGTTCCTCACGCTTGTCCTCTGGGGATCTTGTCGATTGCGCGCTGGCTTGTCAGTGTTCCCAAGTTCGAAATGTAACGAGCTGGGGAACCAGAGGAATGAACACGTTTCGACACAGAGGTATACGGCAATGAATTCGTTAGAATCGAGGGTCGATACGCGTGGAAAGGAACATCAAACAGGCCGGCCCCCTCCGACTATCCCTCGACCAGACCTGCGAAAACGCGGAGCTATCCGAAGAAATTGCATTTTCTCCCACCAGAGCCCAAAGCCGTCACGGATTTATGATAATTTCTCGGCAGCCACATCTCACGCAAGGTCCCCGACCTTACCATGGAACTTCTCAGAGTGAAATTCGGATCGACGGGAAACTACCCCGCGGAATGCAAGGCCGCTCCGAGCACCAGGAACACGCGAGAGCGGCTCGCGTGCCGAGTTCGGCCTTAGTTCGGCTTAGTTTCCGGGTCTATGTGAGTGCGTGCATTTTTTGTCGGATGGAACAAATGCCCGAAGCTTTCCTCGGCAAGAGTTTTATCGCCTCCATCAGGTGATGTAGGGCCTGCGCCCATCAAACCTCTGAGGGTCCGACTCGACTCGGTGGAAAGCTTCGGGGGCGGCGCGGCATTGGCCCGAGCTGCGAGTCTTAGATACTATACACAGTTCAGAATTTTGTTCCATCGTTCTCCCTCCGATAGTCTCACTCGTTTTCATTTGCTGATCTTGATTAATTCCGACGAAGTAGACGGTTTTTTCAACGTTGTTGCGTTAGTATCCCTCCCACGACGGAGTTTCCCCAGAGCCATTTATTCTCTCCGGTGAACTGCGCGCTACGTCTCTCCGTGATAGTCTTACATTTCACTCCAGTATCAATCATCTCGTCTTCGATGTCTGAAATCGAAGCTCCTGCCAGGCAATTAGGGGGATGGCGAGTTTCGCTGCGAACGACTCGTTACCCGACACGAGTGCTTTGATCGAGCCTGGACTGTCAATCCGCTTGCGAGGTTGCTCTTTCCCGATCCCAGATCGTAACTCAAGAGAAACATTGTGAGTTTCCGTCACTCAAAGCTCGAGAGCGGCGCGTTTGGAGCAGGGAGCAGAGCAAGAGAGACTTCGCAGCAGATCGGAGACACGACCGAGATCGGGCGTCAGAAAAAGCTCATGTCATATAATGAATGAAGGAATTATTTAGCAACCTTCCGCTGAGGTTGAGACTCGCAGCGATGGAGAACAAGACGGAACATCTAGCCACAGTCTTCGACAACGATCACGTTCGTCGGTACGTCGCGATGGATCACTTTGCCGCGGAAATCCCGCGAAAGGCGTCAACCGGTAACAGTGACACAGAAATTCGCAGCGGATTTTCGTTGCGTGGCTTCTCCGGAGACGTCTAAATCCTCGTGTGTATATCTTGTTCCCGACCGTGAGTCACGGAAGACTTCCAGCCTGATTCCGCTAATCGTCAGCAGCTCCTTCTTCGCGAATCAAATCTCCAGGATCATTCCAATTATCCTGTTGTTTACTTCGAACGTGAACTGACCTTTGCCTTTCGGGATGACGGCGTGCCTCGGCGACAGTCGGTTCTCATCCTGGTTGGGCAGGATGGCTTCGAGAGTGAGGAAGAGTGCCTCATACAGTGAGTCCGCGTCCGCGTACTTGATACTGTCAGAGTCGAGTTCGATCATGCTGTTGCCGCAACACTTTCTCGTTGGACTTTCGCAAAATCAAAACATTTTAACAAGCGAACGAATTCATTGCAGCCGCCGCTGCTGCTGCCGCGACTGCGACCCTGCAGCCATCGTCGGTAATGAGCTACGCGGGGGAACGGCTTGGCGATCGGGCGATTAAACGGGTCAATAGCTCATTTGGATTCTGCTGCTGCTGCTGCTGTCTCACGGTAGCCGATACAAGCAACTTCCGTAGCGAAGCAACTTCAGTAGCCTCAACTCATCGAGGTCCTACTGCGCGGCTTGACTGTAAAGCTGGATGGATGGATTGATTGATTGGATTCCTCCTTTGTGGGATAATCCTATTGGTCCAAAGGGAATTCACTGCACTTCCCGAGGTGAGCCTTGAAGGTGTTCGAGCACTTCGGCTTCACCGGTCTCTCGCGGGCGAACCGCTGATGATGATGAAGACGGTGACGAGGATGGGAGGGATATGGATATGAAGATGAGGATGAAGCCGTCGGATTTCGGATGCGGGATTTGCAACTATGATGTGATGTAGTCTCTTCGATCAGGTTTGTGGAAGTTGAAAGTCGCTTGCCGGAAGTGGATATGGTTCCCTGGAAAGCGAATGGGGTCGAAGTGAGCGAGTGATATTGTCAACCGTAGTAATTAATATCCGAGGGAAAAGAGAAACCGAGCTCGGAGCCCACGAGTAAACGAAAAGGACGATTCCGCCGGACTAGCGCCGAGTTCGGCTCATATCGTCTACAATCGCTTGCGACAGGCCTCGCATATCTTGCGGTCCTGGTCGTCTGCCGTGAAAGAGGCAAGGCGCGCATAAAAACGTACGACTCGCGATGCAAATGCGCGCTTTACCGACGAAGGTCACAACCTTTGTCCGTGTGCTTGAGTAATAAGAACCACGACTCGGTCCTCAAATTACTGACCGAGCTGGCAGGCGACTAGAGGAGGCGACAGCAAGGGAAAAGCATGAACTCAAGCCATATGAGTCGGACTCTCCCGGAGTCGGACGAGCGCATACACCACCCCATGCTTGTTCCTAGCCACCATCCCAACGCAGCAAGAGACCGAGTGGGGCGGAAATAGTCAGAGACGAGTCAATTTCGAAATACAGACTACGAAATCGGAATGAGATTTCTAGCCGATAGATTCTCTTCGTCGTGAACGAGCGACGGAAACACCTCGAGGTTCTCAGAAATAGATTTCGAACCCACGGAAACCTCTGTTTCTAGACTGTCATGTGCGAAGGGGCCGTGTCCTGCGCGGCTCTGGCATTCCGCGCTGCGGAGAATTTCGATCCATTGAAAGCGTGCCGTCAACTTCCTCTCTCAATTAAAATGGAGATTCGTAGGCCAAGCTCCCTAATTCAAGAGGTCTTGTAGAGAATGAGATGCTCGCTCACTGAGATAATTAAATCTTGAGGGGCTGAGGCCCGACGGTCTGGCTCGGAGCGTTCCTGGCAGTGGATCCTGAAGGGGGTCCTGAAGATAAAATTCCCGGGGGAAATAAGCTACGTGAAAGTTTGAATTGCTATCCTTTGTCTGGGATCGTTTCTGTCTCAGATCCCCGGTCGGGAGAAGACCAGTGCTTCGTGGTATTACCCGCTGTCGACAGAAACAGGAAGTCGGAAAATATCTCCTCTCCGACATCGTCTCCCTCTCCCTTCGCAACATCGATTTGATTCACTTGGCGTGATTCGATCATCAGGGGTAGCGAGCGAGCACATGCCGACACTTCGAATGAGGAGAATTATTCTTCTCAACGTATGACTTCCTATTGACCTCCATGATCCGTTCCTACCTCAGGTCAGTCGCATTCGGGTATGGAGTTCCTGTCTGGCGATTCTCGACTTCCGAAGAGAGTAGATATTCTCTGAGGGAATGTGCAATTCACTTCCGGAAACACGCAGTCGAATCCATCGATTCGGGAAACTGCAGGCTCTGTCGATAAAGTCTCTGGGCTGGAGGGCTGGAAGGCGAGCCGTCACTAATGACACTAATGACCGTTCACAGCCCACGTGAGTCTTGACTCCTTCGAAATCTTCAATATCTTCGCCTGGGCTCGTGCGCTCCACCATTTCGAGAGCAAAAACTCGGCATTCCCATAGCCGCCAACGAGTTGAAACCTCCATGGGCTCTCACCGTGAGTCTACGATGATATGAGAATCGAGAAGCGGGTATTACAGCAATGAAAGCTGGACTCCGCAGTCGATTAGAGGAGCGCGCCCAATGGGAGAATCCTCTAACCCCCCCCCCGCGATTCTGCCTCCGAGACGTCCAGCCCAAATCATTTTCCTTATGCCTAATTGAGGCGATCTAGGGAGCTATAGCTGTCTTGCCCATTTGAGGTGTGCTCCGCGGAATCCCATCGCGACCGTACACTTAACCGCAGACCCAACATCTCAGGGGAAAGAGCCCACGTCGAGGCAGGTTTCAGAGAAAGCTGATTTTTGGCTCCAATTCACAGACCCCTGAAGGCGGACACCCTCGCGTCGAGACATGGCTCCTGCGCACGGAGTCAATCTTCCTTTCCGAATCGTTTCCCCATACTGTTCCCTCAGCTCAAACATCCTTGTGAGCCCGCTCCCTCGACACAGAGCCCTCGCCGCAAACCGGAATCAAATCAGCATTCTGGGAGCTAGTCCTGGTGGTCGCGATTCTATTTCTGAGTGTCTGACTCTTGGAACTCGTCTCCCGGAGCCTCAACCTCCGCTTACAGAGTTGCACGGAATCAGCCATGTATCGTAAATGGATCTCTCAATTGATATTATCACTTTTGAAAAGCAATAGCGTAGATTCGGACCGGAAGAGAAACTTCTCCCCTCTCACATCAATAGCCAGGGGGACGGGGGGTGGAAGACATCGCAGAACGAATTTCACGACTCTTCCGTCTCCTTCCCGGAATCCCTGATCCTGAATGCCGTTAGCGATATTACGTGGGACTTATCCAGTCCTTGAAACGTCTGAGAAAGCGAGGACCCAAGTCACCGCCTGGATGTCTGACCGACTGACTGCTCACTTGCTTGCCTGTCGTTCCGTTCGCCTGTTTGCCTCAAGTCGAGTCTGAGCCCGGAGCAGTCATCGCCGTGGGCTGCAGTCTCACCCCATCAAGCGCACGGCAATGAAGCTGATCAGCGTTGCTGCCGCCACCGTGGAGTTCGCCGTTACGTGTCCGCCAAAAAAGATAAATGAAAAAAAACATGATAAGCTCTTCCTCCCCACGAATTCAGCACAAACTAGTCTCGTCTATCTTGGAAATGCTCCGTTTTGAGATTCAGCAGCTCGAATAGTTTCGCGAAGACTGCGACAATGTCCTTCCTGATGCAATCACTGGACGACATCCGACCGTCTGGGAGGCCGTCTTTTCGGCGGGAGATCGGCTGTCTCAATTTCAATCTCAGTAAAGCATCCAGAGGGAACCCACGCAAGCAGACCGAATGGCGTATCTGGTGCGTCATCAGGGAACTTATCGAGCTTGACAGCTCGGCCATTCAGACGCGAAAAGAAATAAACAGGACTCCGCTGTCATGTCCGATTATCCGGCTACGGCATTGAAGTCTGATCAGCGGATGTGTTTGCGAATATTCTGGGTGCTTCGCTTGACTGCCTCGGAGATCTTCCTCCTCCACAAAATACAGATTCAAGTTCTTCGTGCCGTTTTCAATCGCTGCCGGCTGTGGAGGTTAGAGAGGTCTCGAGAGCTCGAGTGTATCGGCACCGAGCCGAGGGTATCAGCACCGAGCCCCGGCGAAGACGGAAATCGGCGGACAGTAAATCCGGTTGCCTTGCGGCAGTATTCCCTCATCTCATGCTTTCACTGGTCCCGCTTGCTTGCTTGCTTGCCCGCTTGCTACACTGTATAACTAAATGTCGTCCGGGTCGCTGACTGGCTCGCTGTCGCTGAGCAGCTCGGTAAGAAAGTAGATGTCCTTTGCGGTGACAGTAGTCCCGGTGTTGGGGACGCAAGAGGAAGAGAACGTATAGGACGAAAGACGACAAGCACGGGATAGAGGGAGAGCAGCCAGAGGATAATGATGGCCTAATGTATCTCCAGGGCCGACTGAACGGCAAAGAGCTGAGATAAACGTCGAGAACTCCTCGTTGGCCCTGTTCACGTGTGTGAGCGTGAGGCTCTAGGACACATCCCGCAGGAGATATTTCGTTGCTGCCTGTGAGCGAGTAGACAAACAAATAAATAAACAGACAGACTTGCGGGCAGACGATCTATCTTATACTTTTGTTTTACTTCCGCTTCGGTTACTCGAGCTCGGAGGACTGACACCGTTCTCGGAGTTGGCCGCGTTTCCATCATGGATGACCGCGCTTTCTTTTATTCTTCTCGTTCCTCTCCCATCCGCAACTTCCTTTTTATGGGTCCGAGTCACTGCTTGCATTATTCCTCAAAGCAGCTGGAGAGGCAGAACAACAACAACAGCAGCAAACCCACGCGTTAGCTGAATAACGTCCTATTTGCGCGCTCAGCTTGAATTCCTGAAAGGTCCCTGATCTAGTGCTTGCGAAGAGCCCCCTTTTCTCCCAACCCGTATTCAGAAAGTTGGATGTAACGTGCTCGGACCCGAGTTAGATTCTGGCTCGACGACTCGTCCCTCAATGGACGTCGATGTTCCCCTTTATTGTGACCCTTTCAAAACTCCATAGGATAGTCTGGAGCGAATTTTCGAACACATCTGGCGAAACTCCTGAAAAGCTGACTCGATCCGAGGGGATCACCAGCTTTCGCGGGCCAGATATGACTTTTCGCGAATTCAGCTGTTCCTCACGATAGAGCCAAAAATCGAAGGGATCGAGGACTGAGCCAGGGGAAACTCGGAAGTCGATCGATGTGCATTAAACACAAAGTTGAGCTCATGCCCCGGAAGCGTGAGTTCATTTTCGTCATACTCGGCTTCGCTGTGGAAGTTTCCGATGAAACCGAAGCGATCCAACACTCGGCGAGACTCATCAATTATTCATTTTTATCATAATTACATTACAGGATTCATTTCCCCCATTTCAGTGAGCATCCCCCGACTTCTTGCTCATTCTCGGCTTCGTTTCCGTTCCATGCTGTGAGCGCTGGCCCTTCCGGGGATCATTCGGTTCTACTCGACGGCCTCCTCCTGTCGCATCATTGCAGATGACTTTCATCGGTCTCGGTACCAATCTTGGAATGCGAGAATCAACTCTCCCATCATCAATCTGTCTTCTCAGGAATTCCCGAGATCCCACCGGACCCTCGTCAAGTTCATGCTCCTCCGGTGGTTAAGCTCCTCATACATTCGGGTTCTTCGTTTTCGTTCACTGAGGAACGCAGCCACGGTTGTTCTCTCCTGTCGAGGCCTCTTCCCCAAGTATCCTTGCTAAAGTCTCGTAAAATTCTCCGAATCGGTCCGGTCAGTCAGTGCGAATCTG